CTTATTTTTTTCAAGTAAACTCTACCCCCAACAAGGGGCTCGAAGTCACAACCCTGAGATCAAGAGTCGCACGTTCTACTGGCTGAGCCAGCCGGGCACCCCAATACTAACTCATTATGATCTCAAGAAATAAAAGCTACATCGGAGAATCAGGTTGTTCTCAACGGCCTTGTCTCAAGGATGTACTCTGGCCATTGCGAGTCACTTTCAATGAACTCATTACCTACGTACCACTAAATGACCATCCTGTTCCCTAATTTTTCCACAAGTAATTTGAATTTAGGTTTGGAAAAAAAATATATTTTCCAGGTTCCGGATGTCTGCAAGTTTTTCTGCGTATCTCTACTTATTTCTAGGTATCCAGTGCCCCAAGGACACTTAGTTAACTCTAGTATTACCTGTTTGTTTCAACAAGAAATAAGAAGGCACAGTTGAGAAAAATACGGTTTTCAGCTTTCTAGATTCAACTAATTACTTACTACAGTCATCTCGAGTTTACTCATTCTTTAGGGATCTTAAATTCTAGCATATCCACCCCCTATGCCATCGAGAAATATGATTTCAGAGTTCAGAAGTATGAGTTTTGGCTTCCTGGCTTATGCTAGTCAATATACTAAGTTCTAAGTTCTCTCTAGATTATCTAGTGTTTGTTTGTTTGTTTGTTTGTTTGTTTGTTTGTTTTTTAGGTGTCATCACTCATCTACAGTTTTAAGGCAAAATTCCAACAAGAAATAAAAACCCGGTATTGTAAGACTGGTTTTTAGCTTGCAGGTTTCAAACACTCGTTCTGATTACCTCGTGTTTCTTCCACTGAACCAATGAAACAGGTGTCACTAGAGATATATGCTACTAACTCATTATTAGAAGGAAAGGCGCCTGGGTGGCTCAGTCAGTTAGGCATTCGGCTCAGATGGTGATCTCCTGGATCGTGGGTTCAAGCCCCACGTAGGGCTCTGTGCCGGTAGCACAGAGCCTGCTTGCGATTCTCTCTGCCTCTCCCTGGCTCTCTCTCTTTCTCTTTCAAAATAAATAAACTTCTTTAGAAAAAGAGCAGAAATAAGTTGGAGCAGTGAAGAATGATGCTTTTTTTTATTAAGTAAACTCGGCGTCCTGTGTGAGGCTCGAACTCACAACCCTGAGATCAAGAGTCGCATGCTCGACCAACTGAGCCAGGCAGGTGCCCCAAAGAATGATTTTTTTTAAGATTTTATTATTTTTTTAAAGATTTTTATTTATTTATTTAAAAAATTTTTTAACGTTTATTTATTTTGAGACAGAGAGAGACAGAGTATGAACAGGGGAGGGGCAGAGAGAGAGGGAGACACAGAATCTGAAATGGGCTCCAGGCTCTGAGCTGTCAGCACAGAGCCCGGACGCGAGGCTCGAACCCACCGATTGTGAGATAATGACCTGCGCGAAGAGATCATGATGCCTAACTGACTGAGCCACCCAGGCGCCCCCTCAACTTCCTGAATATTCAACGACTTTTCTTCAGCATCTTGATTTCAACTTGGTATTCTAGATATCACCACTTGTCCCTGGGTTACTGATGACTGAGTTACCACCAGATTTCTATGGTACTAATTTATTAGTTAATAAAGAAAATTTTGAGCTGAAAGATGCTCTTACGTCTGGTTATCTCTCCTTAACTACAAAAGTATTATAATAGCATATAGCATAATAGCAAAAGTTACTGAGCACGTCCTCTGTGCGAGGGATGGTTCTCGGAGGATAGGTTCAAATCATTTAAACAGTTCACTGGTACATTTCCCAAGTGAGTGACTTTAAGCAGGTTACTTAATATCTCTGTGACCCAATGACATCACCTATAAAATGAAGATAATAGCAGCTCTAAGTCCACAGCGTTGTTAAGAGAATTAAATCTGTTAATATAAATAAATCACTTAGACCATCGTCTGGAACACAGTAAGAACCAGCTTATGTGTGAGCTACTCTCATTATCTCAGTCAATACTCACAACAACCCCATGAGGTAGGTACTATTATTACTCAATTTTACTGATGAGGAAACGGAGGCACAGGGAGAAAAAACAACTCACCAGCTTAGCCAGCTAGCAAAAGAAGAGGAAAGCCGGAATACAGATGCCAGCAGTCTGACTCCAAGGCTCTCTGCCCTCATGAATTTGGAACAGCAAACCCACGATTCTCTTCCATGCCTGTTTTTACGTAGACGAGGCTCAATTAGGCATGTAAGGCTTTCAAGAAGCGAATTAACTAAAAGTTTTAAGTAAATACTAACCTGCCTGATGCTTAGAGAGGCGACACTCACCCAAGGAGCACATAAATGGCTGGAGTCTAGAAAGTGCTGGAATAGGGGCACCTGGGTGGCTCAGCCGGTTGAGCGTCCGACTTCGGCTCAGGTCATGATCTCGTGGTTTGTGAGTTCGAGCCCCGCGTCGGGCTCTGCGCTGACAGCTCAGAGCCCAGAGCCTGATTCAGATTGTGTCTCCCTCTCTAACTGGCCCTCGCTCGTGCTCTGTCTCTGTCTCTCTCTCTCCCCAAAATAAATAAACATTAAAAAAGAAAGCGCTGGAATAAATTGTGGAAATCTCAAATATGAGAGACCACACCACGCAAACTGTAATGGGCGTTCTAGCCAGGCTAACGCACACCATGATCCTAACCACTGTAGGTCTCTCATGTTATAACTGATCCCAAGCCCAAACCGATCGTAGAGTATCTAGCCGAGAGAGGGGGAGGCCTGCGGAAGCCAGCATGAGCGGCCTGAGGAGGCTTGAGTAGTTAGGGAGAGGCTGTGGAAATGAAATGGTGTGACAGCTTTTTCAAAGTCAATTCCACCACCATCCTGTAACTGTTTTTCTACTCACCCTTCGGGAACAAGAGGCATGGAGAGAGTATGTTTACTTGGCGCGCACAGTAGGTGATAATTGTTATGAATTGGAATAATGTGAGGTGGACAGGGGCCCCCATAATTTTAGGGGCCTATGAAAATGGTTTCATTTCTTTTATTAAATGGGTCTGACGACAGTGGTGGTTGTGAAAGTAAAAGCAGGATAAATCATGTACATTGTCGAGCATGGGACCCATTATTAGAGGCTATTCTCAGCACTCAGGGTACTAACACATTCCCACCTGCAAAACATTTCTTTTTTGAGGCGGGATCTAAATTAAATTTACTAATACGAGAGCTTGATGGTGCTTAATTCCAGGGACCAGGGCTCAGGTTACTGGTGCTTGATGAAAAGTAAAGAGAAATCTTAAGGACATAATTAAAATCATGACTTTTGGGGCGCCTGGGTGGCTCAGTCAGTTAAGCATCTGACTTCAGCTCAGGTCATGATCTCCCGATTCATGGGTTTGAGCCCCACATCTCTGTGCTGACAGCTCAGAGCCTGGAGCCTGGAACCTGCTTTGGATTCTGGGTCTCCCTCTTTCTCTGCCCCTCCCCCGCTCGCGTTCTGTCTGTCTCTCTCTCAAAAATAAATAAACATCAAAAAAATAAAGAAAAACTTGACTTTCACCATCCTCGAAATTCTATGAATTCTTCACCCATCCTTGAGACATGGGTAAAATTGAAAACCATCAAAATATTTGGACTTCTTAAAAACTGGGTTGTATGAATGGTGTTTATGAGAAGGTGTTTATGAAAAATCGATGACCCTGGATCTTATCCAAGAGGACAGCACTGAATAGTTCATATGTTCCTTGAGGGACTAAGATGCTGACGTCTTTCTGACACCGGATCATTACGTGATTGCTGATTCCGCATCAGGGTGTAAGTTAGCTTTCATTCGCACCAGGTCCAGCGAGTTATTGGGCACTGGGTACATATACATACATATTTTTTGACTATAGCCAGAGGAAGTGGCAGGGGCGCGCAGATTGTCATTAAGCGGTATTCGACACTATGCAAAACATTTTTGGAAGGGAGAAACAGAGCCCTCAATCTGCCTTCTTTTTTATTAGACGTTTATCAGCGCAGAGCAAGAACTCAAAAAGATGGTTCTAGACAAAGGGAGATGGAGAAAGACGAAGAGGACCAAGAGGAACAGGAGGAGAAGGAGGAGAGTAAAAACCTGGAAACTAACCCGTCCCCAGCACCCGCCCAGCGCAGAAACACGTGCGCTTTTGCAGAGGACCTACAGCTAGAGAGGGGACAGCGGAGCTTGACATGCAGAGGTTGGCAAGCCCCACAGTCCAGGGCCAAAGGAAGGGCCGCGGGCAGTGCAAGCATTCTTGGATGCACAAAACTGGGGGCAGGGTTCTACACTTGTACTACCAACCTGAATTCCTTACTACCAATCTAGAATATTCGTTGCTTTCGCAAGAGACGGGTTGGGTTTTTTACAGCGTGGATCTGAGCACCCACGGTGCTCTGCAAACCTAGCCTCAAGCTCCCGCTCCTGATCGCCCAGGGAAGCTTGGTGGGCTCCGCTTT